CTGCCCGCGGCGGAGAGTCACGCCGGAGCTGGCCGGGACGGGACACAAGCAGCCGCGACTGGGCCGCTCTACTTGATCTTGGATGACAATTTTTATTACCAGAGCATGAGATACGAGGTGTACCAGCTGGCTCGCAAATGTAATTCCTCTTTGTTCCTAAGCTTAAGAACGTTTTCCCCCTTGTAGGAAATTCAGTGCACTTCAGCTGCCTTTCTTTAAGTGCAGGTGTGGAACATTTATTATTCTTAATTGCTAGATGCCTGCACTATACCAAGCATCAATCTTATTACTCTATTATTAGAAATTACTAGGTCACTTAAAGCCTTAGCATGTTGATCTCAGAAGTTACTACTTAAGCAGCCCCGAAGGTGAAATTGTTTGCATACTTGTATTCTTTTCAGGGTCAGAACTAGCATAGAAGTTCCTCATTCACTTAAAGCCTTTCTTGTGCACGTTGCTCTCAGAAATCTTTATTTGAGCAGTTTAAAGGTAAAATGGTCTCTTTATGCTCTTTTAGATTCCTTGAGCTTCTGCCAGCTATTTTTAGACTGTCCAGTTGAATGCTGCTTGCAGAGAAATCGTCTGAGAAGTCATCCGTTACCTGACCAGACGATAAATTTAATGGCAAGAAAAATAGAAATGCCAGATCTCAAGAAAAATGCATGGGAACAGAACAGCCTCATTCTGAAAAGTTTTGATTGCACTTTGGAGGATGAGTATGCTACTGGGACGATGCTGGGGTTTTCACTAAGTACTGTTTTCATGAATGGGGTGTAGAAGCTTTTTGCTGTGTCTAAACTATGTAAAACAATTCTGTAGGGTAATTTTTGGAAGCCCATCAGTTACACACCATATACGCCAGTTGTTGGGAACTCGCGGCCACCATTCTTTGCAGAGTTAACCTCAAAACTAACTGCATTTCTAAACTATTTTTGAGTAATTTACATAAATTGTTAATACATTAGGAGTGGAAATAATTTGCTGTGGTTTTAGCTGTAATTGTTTTTCGTCTAACTTGCCGTACAAAGATTATTTAATTGCCTCAAATTTAACTGAAAACTCCCTTTTTTTTCTTGTATGAAGTTTCATTACAAAATGAAAGAAAAATCTTCGGTGAAGCTGTTTGATTAATGTGGGTTTTGTTTGTTTTCTTAGTGAGCAGATAATTAGTTTGCTGGCCACTGCTTTGGAAAATCCAGTGAAGCAACTGGAGGAGAACACTGAGCAAAAGGTAGTAGCTTGTCTGTGCAATCACAGCTCTGTCAAATGATGGTGAAGGAGTGAGTGATTCCGGTGTTGTATTCAGAACACAGTGATGACAGAAACTGAGAAACAGCTACTGCATTTCTTGATTACAAAAGCCTACACAGAAGAGTCAGTCCTATTTGAAGTGGGTACTTTTGTCACCTTAGTAAGTTAAACCACTGAAATTTAAATTATATGTCCTAGAGCAGTAAAAAGATTTTGGAGCTTGGAGCCTTTCCATCACACTGAGGAAAATAGTTCTCACTTCTGACTGCAGCTCTGTCTCTGGCAGTCACCTGCCTCTGACTTCAGAGGAGCAGGTGTGTGCTGCACCATCACTCAGTCTAAATCAAATGACAGTCTAAATCAAATTTAATGCCTTTGCATGTATTCTTCCCTTCTGTTGGTCACCCTGGCTAGGAAGCAGATCGAGCAATCTGTGCGGCTAGTGCTGTCCATCAGGCTGACCAGGCCTGCAGACGCATCATCTCACAGACAATGAAGGCTGCAAAAGGTACGTGTAGCACATTCTGCCCCGAGACTAAACCCATGAAACTCCCCTGGCGTAAATTGTTAAGGAATCCCCACCCTGCCGGTGGGACTGAGGCAATTGCCTTCAGAAGTTTGGTCATAATTAGTTGTAGAATGTGACTCTGTGTAAATTTTGTCTTTTAAGATTGAAGTTAAAAAGTTTGGCTTTAATCTGCTTTTAGATAAAAACATACTTCCAAGTGAGATGAAGAGCCTGGCGGCAGAACTTAACAAACTCAAAATAGAATTTTTGGAAGACTTGCGGCAAGGAAGAAATTTGAAAAGCCCTATTTGCCTACAAAATCAATATTCTGACCCTGCTACAAGTGTCATTTCTTCATTCCAGCATGAGGCAACAAATGTAGTTAATAAATACATTTTAAAATAGTGAGAGTGTGGTGGTGTCTTTTAGGAGGCCAGAGTGTTTAAAATTTAGTACTTTTTCAGTACTAAATTTCAGTACAGTTGAAGATGTGTGAGATCTCCAGGTTCCTGCTCTGGAGGCTTGTGCCTTCTCAAACTCCTCTCCCCATATGGAAGAGAAATACCACCTTACATCCTCTGTTTGACTTTGAAGATCAAGCCAATAACAAACCATCAGATTTTATTTAAATTTCACAGAATCATAGAAAAAGTTAGCCTTGGAGGAACACTTAAGTCATCTAGTCCTGTTTCCTGCTTACAGGGAGACTAACTTCAGGCTGGATCAGCTTTCTCAGAGCTGCCTCTGGCTGCAGTTTTGGAGATCACCCCCTGCATGGTGACCTGCTATGCTCCGGCAAATGGGTAGCAAGTACAGAGAGCACATGCCTGGGAAGGTACAAAACCAAGAAGCAAGAGGGTTCTCTCTTGTTTCTGTGACGCAAACTGCAAAGCACCTGAAGCTGGAGGGTTGTGTGCAGGTACACACGCGGGGAGAATTAACTCCAGTGTCCAGAGGAACTTGGTGCTACCTCCAATGTTGCTAATAGGAATCTACTTACAAGTCCCATATGCAGCAACAACCACCTCTCCATGATAAAAACTCAGATTTCAGACAGAGAACCACTCTTGTTAAGGAGGAAATATGAGTAAGAGGCAACAAAGAATTCAGATGATGACCAAATGGGCAAGATTAACAGTGGAAAGGAATAGAAGCATGTCCTGGGTCAGCACCGAAATTAAGCATTTCAAATTAAGACTCCAAACATGTTCCTCACACTGTTCCTTGCTTACCCGAAAGGTAAGCTGACATTCCTTACCATATCTAAACCACAGCTAGTTCATCAGTTCCACCTGTTGAAGCATATGCAATTAAGAATTAACATAAGACTTAATTAGAAAGTGTTATTTTATTCCTATCTTACAAAAGCAAAGCTTCACAACATGAACTACACTAGATATAATTATTTCAGAATTAACCTTGTCATCTGAAAACATTCACTACACAATAAAATTTATTTTACAACTCTTAACAGGTTTCATTTCTGCATACAAAATATGCTCTTTACACTGAAATACATATTATTAACAAAGCAGGTACTTAGAAGCACATACACAAAGATTGCTCAATGAAAAATGCTTCAGCAGGGGATAGATTTCCTGCAGCAGAACATCCATTTGCTGTAGATTTTCAAAGAAGCTTAAGATGAATAGAAAACTTGCCAGTGAAGACTTCTAAATTACATTCCCTTCGTCAAAAAGAAACAAAAAGCAAACACCCCCCAAACATTCTGGAACAAAACAAATAGCAACAGATCATTTTGCTAGGAAACACTGTTGGAACGTCTTCCAACACTGAGTTTTATGTTAAAATGCCAATCAATGTTTTATGTCAAAATCCTCTTTATCTAAACATGTAACTGCGAAAAAACCAACTATTTTTCCCTATTAGCTGCTTCACAGTTGGCTTAAGTATTAACTGAGATAATCTACTAAGATACTCAGTCTAATATTTGCATGTTCATCAGAATATTCATAAGAATAAGAAGTCTATGTTGAGAGAACTATAAATAGTGCATGTTAAAAATGTCAACGAATCCATAAAACAATCCATTACAATAAAAACAAAAAATCCACAGTTAATTGGGTTTTTTTTCAACTACAGAATTTAACAGAGTCAAGCTATGGAAAAATTTCAGCTCATTCCCAAACTTCCCTGTTAAGACAAGTTAAAATGCTAATCACTGCCTTATAATATACGGATTTTTTTTAAAAAACAAACAAAAAACCCAAAAACAAACAAAAAAGAAGTTAGTGCAGTGCAGCACACTGAGAACTCAATATGAAAAGTCCTATTACCCGAGGACTCGAGCCCACAATTCCTGCCAAGTATCCCTCCTTGACTCTGAGTAAGGCCTTACTTGTGCAAGGGAATCATCACGATCATACTCTAAAACAACTTTCCAGTCCTTATTCTGCTCTTTAAATTAAATAGTATGTACAAAATTATGAAAAACTAATATGAAAGTTCACCTTCCACACCTACTCAGTAGACAGAAGGAAACAGATATAGTCATGGTGACGTTTGGCACAACTGAACACACAGCATTACACTGAAAAATTAATAATTAGTCAGCAGGGATCCGCCCCACAGATCTGGTTGCAGATCAAGGGATGAACACCAAGGCCTGCTGCTGCCGAAGAACCCCCCTGCAAGGGAACTTGCAAGAGGAAAGAAGGAAAAATATTTTTTTAATTGCTCAACAGTTTATAGATGTTCAAGCTAATTTTCTCTTCCTTAGGTACTTCGAAGCAGAAACAATGGTATTAAGTCAGCAGTATTAAAATACTTCTAAACAGCTATTTGTAAGGTTTGGGGTTACAATTTTTTTTTTTTTTATACTGAGTTCTATAATTAAGAACATATGTTCCCCTGCAACAGAGGATCCCCTCCTAAATGAGGGCCCCTTTTCAGTAAGATCACACAGGCTTCTTGCAGTCAGTGACCTATTTGTGATCTAATTCTTCTGCTAGTTAAAATTTTGTTCAGGAGCATCATGGTTCAGAAGTCCTTTTTCTAAATCGCCAAATCATTAGCTGACACAAAAAGGAAAGTTTATAGTTCACAGGCACTGTCAGTGAAAGTCCTAACGGATCAGAAATGGCATAAATGGAATGGATGAAATCTCAAAACCACACGTGTGCATTTTGGAGTTAATCTCTGTACTGCCACCAGGAGAGGGAAAGGCTGGAGCCGCAAACCAAAGAGAACTCTGGGGTTCTGATCGGCATCATTCAGTGCTGGAAGGTGCTCCTGGAGCCCCACCATTTCAGAATACTCCTTGGAGCCACCACAGCTGAGGAATACAAGTGTGCAGCAGCTAGCAAAAGGCAAGGAAAATGATCTCTGTAAATCACTAATGCTCTTCAACAGTAACATCTGTTGATCTAATACTGTATTTTAGCCAAATTTAGATTTTTTCGAATGTGCCAATTCACAATCAAAAGAGGGCTGTCACTCCTGCAGTATTCTTTGACTAAAAAGAGTCATGTTGCAAACCTGTACAGGAGCAGTAGCTTCCAAATGGGATTCCCGTTCAGTCAACTTTTAGTCCTTAAAATGAAGGACTCTGTACGTTTATGCACACAGAGTTGCAGTTTTGCTTATAACTTAAAAGTGTAAAGCAACAAAGAGACATTTTGGAACTATAAAAAGTGTCATTATGAAAAGTGGAAATTACATTCTGTTTTACAAATCCACTGAAATGGGGTTTGAACAAGGCCTGAAACCAAAAACAGTTTCTGGAGTGGTAGTGTGTTATCATTCTTCTTCACTACACTGGAAGTACTTCAGTGGTATATTTTTGACGTCATTACTACAAGACTATGTGCAGCCAAGAATCCCATTTCCTTCAACTGGTTACTTAAGCACAGAAAATTCAACAGTCAGTAAATTAGGTAGAGAGAAACATATTTGGTTCCCAAATTTCTAATTCACTGAAGTCAAAACTACTTCTAAAGCTAAAATTCTCAGAAGGGTGGTTTCTCCTACGTTGATCTTACACTGAAGTCATTGTAAGTTTTTTCCATCAGCTTCAGGAAGTTTTAGCTCCCAGAACAATATAGATTTGAATAAGCCAAACATTTGCTATTCAGATTCCAACCTCTGACTTGCACAACATGAATAAAATCTTCCTGCTTTAAACAAAACATATCTCTTGCCATATTTTGCTGATACTAAAAGGAGAATACATAAGGGAAGCTTTAATTTGCCTCAAGTAAGACAAACTAAGGTAAAAGTGCATGTCTAAATATAGGAAAAGTAACAGTTCTTCACTTTTTTGGAAACATTACAAATTCCTGTGTAGCAACATTAAGAGCTTTTATTAATTTTGCTAAGATGTTTTATTTTAGGTTTAAATTAAAGTGCCTGTTCGTTAGCCTAGGTGCTTCTAAAGTAAGATGTACAGCGTAAAATAAAACCCCAACATGTGCAATGGACTTCATGAACATCTTTAGTTACCATTTGCCACCGACAATTATTAATCACAACGACTTCAAATGTAGCCAGCCGGTATTTCTTCACCTACCACATGAACAGTTCAGATAACCCAGAAGCCTTTCCCCTTATTTCTACCAAAGCCACAACAGATGTGGGGGAAGGGACAGACAGACTGACTTCCAAGTTAGCTGAAGTTTACAGTAAACTAGATTATACAACTTTCAAACATACAGGCAACCTGTAAGTTGTAGCTTGGCCCAAGATAAAACTGAACAAACGTTTTTTTTTAATTTGTAAACCTCTTGTTTGTTTCTCATAGAACTTCTATCAGCAAGACAGAAGTCCAATTGTGCAAACTTTAAACAGCTGTACAAATTAGTTTAAGGCAGTTAAAAATCTCACAGAATATATATTAGTTCTACAAGCTCTTTATTATGACTGTTAAGAATTACCTTTGAAAAAGAATGACATGTAAAATTTTGGTAAGTGTAGTTTAAAATAAGGTGTCATATTTAATTCTTCTCTTGTGTAATTAGCGAACGACAAGCTTTTAACTCTCTTTTCCTACCAGAGTTTCATTCATAATCACCTGTTATCTTCTAGTTTTGTGACGAGTTTTAAAACTAATGGTTAAATTAGTGTTTGAGCCCTGGCATGAAGGGTTTTCACTATACTATGCAAAAACTTATTAGTAACCTTCAGATTACAGGAAGTTTTACATCAAACTGAATTCGTACGTGAAAGTTGCGTCTGTTTCTTTTTCCAGTTTGGAGTAGCTAAATTTTTAAGCATAAGTAAGCCTCAAAAGTAACCACGTGCCACTGAATTAACTTTTTGTATTTTAGGATTAATATATTTGGTCTTGCCTAGTAAACGGTCCAATAATTGCATCCTATGTTTCAGGACACATGCTCTGCTTCTGTATTTGTAGAATGTTTATTGGGATTAAGTGCAAGCAACGTAAATTTAGCAACCAAAGCATGTAAATGCATTCCAATTCTTATAGCACTCTCAGCTTTTTTGAAAGGCTACATATAAAATAACAATCACATCTTATATAAAATTTCCCTGGCAAGTTTTACAACATAGAAATAAATTTGCCTCCTTTGTCAAATTGATTAATGTGAAGATTCCTTATGGGAATGTGCAAGCTTTTCTTCAGCAAGTATGAAAAATATATTGTAATATGTTAAAAAACTAAATGAAAGCATGTTCTCAGTCAATGTTGACTATGTTGGCCTCTTGCAAAATGGCAAGCAAAGTCATACTTATTTTTACACTTACACCCACATATGTTGCACTGGAAAGGATTTTCAAATCCATGACATCCCATGTGAATAGTATAAAGGATATTGTCCGCAAAGTACATGTCACAGTGTTGGCAGTGATGCAGAAGCTGAGGGTCCTGAACTGGAAGGGTTGGAGCCGGAGTACTCGGTTGACTGTTACTTATGCTGGGAGTACTGGTGTGGGCACTGCGCTCACTGCTGGGACCTGCCACGGGACTATAGTTCCTTTGATTGTGTGTAGGCCGAGGATCTGGGCTGGTCGGAGATGAATTTTGAGGAATATTTGCTGACACAGCTGAAACCACAGCAGGAGCAGCAGGCTGCTGTATCATGAAAGGCTTTTCATCTTGACAGGAAACAACATCAGGAGAGGCTGGATTTTGGTTTTCAGGTGGCAAGCTAGATAACTGTCCGGCTAACGTAGAGAGCTGGTTTAAAGGATTATCTACCATAAGGTCTTGTGGATCTCTTGGCAACCCACCGCTCTGGGTTGATTTTGTCATACTCTCATAGGCTTCCGTCTGGATATTTGGGATTTCGTGAGTGAAATCATTAAGGTAGTCTGGTTTCTGAACCACCATGGAAGGTGGACTCAAATTAATTAATGCTCTTCTGCTGTACCCTAAATTGCTGGTCTTCTTCTGCAAAACCCCCCACATTTTCTTGCTGCTTAGGGAAGACCTTGTACCCTTGACAGGCACCATTTTATGTTTGCGCCTGCGGTGGTGAGATAAATTGCTTCTGTCACTGCAGCGAAAGGAACACAGTTCACATTTGTATGGTTTTTCACCAGTATGCGATCGCATGTGAGCTTCCAGGTGACGTTCATAAGCTGATGCAAAGGGACACAGATGGCACCTGTGCGGCTTCTCACCTGGAAAATTAAAACAGATTATACTACAGCATCTCCAAGTGCTTGAAAAAAGCATTTCAAGGAACAGAAAGTAGCTGACTGGGAGCTGCTTATCAAACAGCTCAGCTTCAGAGTCACTGCTAGTCTTGAGTTTAGCAGGATATGTGGTGGAAGAGTGGAGTAGATTAAGACATCTCTGCCTCACCCAAGTGATAGCAAACACAATTAAAAGATGTGACCAGAATTAGCCTAACAAATAACCTGACTAGGAATTGCAGCAGTGATGCCAAGGACTGAATGCCATGATGTCTGTGTGGTGCTCTTAACTGGATCCAAACTCTACCTCGCCTACAAAGCACATAAGTAGCTGGCTACAGAAATGTCTGTACCACCAAAGTGTAGTCAGTAACTGTGTTTAAACATTGATGGAGGGTATCCTTTTGATATCTTCCAAACATTCCTATTATCTAAATAACCTGTGCATCCACTCAAGAACTGAATTTTGAAAAAGGATCCTGTGGCTAAAGAGCTCTGAACGAACACAAAAGGCAGCTAATCCCTGGACAGCCATGTGCTCTCTCAGACATGAAAGTCAAGTATTCTCCTTTCTGACAGGTAGGACTTTGCTCTTCTATTAAATACTTAAGAGATATTCACATTAACACTTTTAAAAGTACTTAGAAAACTTGCAAACATAATTACAGGCCAACACATTTGTAACACAATACTTTTGAGACTTCTGATTTTCCTTTCATAGGCTGATCTTCTAGGAGTTTTTAGATCCAGGTCTGCAACATTAGAAAAGTCCTAAAGGATTTGATGCACGTTCAGGTGCTGAAACGAAACATCATCTTATCTTCCTATCTAGAATGTCAGATCAATTTCTAAATCACTGTTGTGCAACTGATTCTCTTGCCACACAGCCTGACAAACTCAGAAAAAAAAAAAAAAAAAAAAAAAGGCAAGTAAAGCGAGTGGACTCCTCTTCTTCAGCCTTTATGGGTTTTTCTGGAGCATTTTCTATCATTTTAAACCACAGGGCAATACATCTGGTTTGTGGCTTTCAAAATCCATCTAGAACAACTGTAGAAGCCAGAGATCTGCAGGCAGCGAGAGCCACTGTGACACAGTGAGTGCTCTACAGGCCCCGTAAGATGGGACTGATAGAGAAAACCCTTCCCATGCTGAGCATCCCACAGTTTGGAATCACAATTTAGCACACTGAACAGAAGATTTTTTTTTTTCCCCCTACATCACTGGCTCTTCAAGAAAAGAGCAAGCAATTTTTGTGCTACTTTTAAGCATGTTATTTGCACCAACTGAAAATACAATTTTTCCATAATCTTATAAATATATTCAGATAGGTGGGTGTATATACACATACTGAGACACACACGTGTAAAGAGCTGGAGATCTGGTACAAACAATGACATAAGACTGACAAACTGTGGGTTCACAAAGAGCTTGTCAATCTGAATGGTCTTCATTCTAAACTGGTTACACAGAGACAAATATTCACATACCATGTTGCACGCCCTTAATACGACACAGCTGGTGAACTACTAATTATACTGCTGTCAGACTCAGCATGAAATTAATTCTGTGGCAAGTTGCACTTAATGGTTGCGTGATCCTGCCTGGGCCACAATTACTTTGGCAGACACCTTGCTGCACTCATGTTATCCCGGATGCATTATCTGTTTCCTTGCAGAGTTCTGAGGCTACTAGCCAGCTATCACTACCTGATTTTAATGCTGATTCAGTCACTCTGAGCCTTCATAGTTCATGCAATCCACCTCTTGGCCTTTTGCCATGCCTCCCCTCCATGCTTCTGAGCAAAACTACACTCAGGTCTTGGATTTCCTTGCCCTTAAGTGAAAAGAAAAAAAAAAACAACAAAACAACCAAGAAAACCAAACCAAAACCACCCTTCCTCGTTCTGGAGTCTCCTGTTTCTGTACAAACTAACAAATTGGGGCTTTCTGAAGAGCTATTAAGGTAATGGCCAAATGGTGTTGCCATCAGCACACCATGCAGTGCTGTATTAAAATTAAGGATATGAAACAAATTGCAAGAAGGCAGAGGGGAAACTATACAGAGAAACAAAAAGGCCTCTGGCAGCCCGAGACTGTTGTCGATATTATAGGGTATAGGGCAATGGATTGGTACAGGGAAATGAACTGTTATCACTGCACAGTTACTGGCATTTCACTGGGCACCAGAGATGTTTGAACTAGTAATTTGGCTATGAAGTGTTGACTGGGTGAAGGTGTGTTCAAACTGCTGAAGCTCTGACAGACAGTAGGCAGAAACCCCCAGTATCCCCCTCTCACAGCTAGTTTGCTTTCTGGAATGGAAATAATTCAGACTGCATGATTTTAAGTAGAGTAATGCATGCCTTCAATTTGGCTACCTTATCCTAGCACCTTTGTGGAAGTTTCTTTGATGAAGTAAGTCATGCATATACCCTCTGATAACGGGAACACCTGGAGCAGCACTGAGACAATTGTCAACCCACATGAAAAGCTCCATTCTTCTTGTATAATGCCAACAATGTCATATGCTACAACCATGAGAAACTACTCAAAATGTTAGTCAAGGCATAAACCCAAAGTATTATGCTTTGCCCTAAAACCCAAATTTGTGTAGGTCATGGAATGTTTGTTTCTGGATAATAACCACTGGGTCAGAGAATTTTGAGGACATTTCTCAGTATCCAATTCTTTACTGAAATCTATGTTGCTTTCGTATACATTATGCTGCAACTGTGCTGAAATGGTCATAATCTGCAGCAGGAATTGTTCTGCTACCTCTAGCCACTTAGTGACCTCTACTCCCTAAAGGAGGCATTCTGAAAACTTCGAAAAACTATAAACCTAATATTTGAGGGTATAAAAAAAGCTAGGCAGCTTCCAGGAATAAGAGAAGGAATGCTGACACACAATACCAACATTTTGATACTTAAAGAAGGAAGATTTCATTTTTTTGCTCTCTAGTATGGCTAAAATTTATTACATTTAAGTTACAACACATTATTTCAGTTGTTCTGTTTGAGAAACCCCATGCATGCCAAAACCATCTCAAGAATCAGCAAATATACCAAGAACATCAAATATATCAGCAAATATACCAACATCTTCTAGTAGCAATTTATATCTCCCATCACAGCTTTAGCAGCCCATCTGCTCACGTTGACAACTGGGTAGCAGTAACTGTGGGCCAAGGGATGCAAGTTTTTAGATGGTAATAGCAACAAGCTACTGAAAAGACATGAAAGTCAATGTTACTTCTGCATCTTTAAGTACCATTTAAAAATGAGCTGCCTTAGTCTGCAGTACAGCTTCTCCCACTACATGACGCTCATTTCACAAGCTCAGAAATAGCACTGCACAGAGGAAAGCTGTTAAAAGAAAAATAACTTGTCCACATGCCACAAGGCAAATGGTAGGTAAAGCTGTAACTGCTTTCTGAAAAACTAGACCAAAAAAATGCTCCAAAACACACTGCTGCTTTACAGATCTGCAGCAAGCCATGGCATTAACACTGTGTCAGATGCAGGTACACAAGCAACAGTATTTTATCCACTACTGGAACTACACAAAATTTCCACTGGGAATCTGAAAACAGCAACAGCTACACATAGAGGTAGCTCATGGTAGCACAAGAGAGGAATTTATAAAATCACAGAACCATTCTATGACTATCTTCAGAGTCTAAACCTCACAACTCTTTTATTTCTAGTTGGTTGCTATTTTCTATCCCATTACACCTTGTCAAAACAAGCCAACACTGCAGGGCCAATGCAACTGCTGCAGTTTAAACCCAGCTGGCAGCCAAACACCATGCAGCTGCTTGCTGACCCTTCCCTGCCCTGGGGGAAAGGAGTGAACTGTAGGATAAAGGTAAGGAGACTCGTAGGCTGAGCTAAAAACAAGTTAATAATTGAAATAAAATTAAAATAATAATTATAGTAATAATAGAATATACAAATGACTAATGCACAATGCGACTCTCACCACCTGCCAATTGATGCCCAGTCCGTTCCTGGCTAGCAATCCCAGAAGAGGGAAAAAATCCCAAAACACAATTCCAGAAAAAACAGAGCTTCCCCATCAACCTTCATGTCTATACTGAGCAGGACGTTGTACAAACGTGGAATATTCCACTGGCCAATCTGGGTCCGTTGCTCTGGCCATGGTCCCTCCCAGCTTCACGTGCATCCGCACACTAGCAGGACACAGGAAGCCAAAAGGACCTTGATTTCTTAGCAACAACTGAAAACATCAATGTATTATCAACATTCTTCCCATACCAAATCCTATACTGAATCCAAAACACAGCACTATTCTAGCTGCTAAATTAGCTCTATCCCAGCCAAAACCAGGACAGCAAGGAGCGCTGACTTCCCCCAGATACATCCTGGGAGTCACTGTGGAGAAGCAATGGTTCACAGCAAGGTGAAAGTCTGCCTAACAATAACCGTACCTCAAGAGAGCTACAACTACACCCACGTTACAACAGCGTGTCTTCAAGGTGAGTCCTAGAATGCCACCTACCCAAGACCACTGACATAATACACTTAGAAGCTTTAGGACAGTCCATACCAGACTGGAAACCTACAAAAACTTCTATTCTTTGCAGAACACAATTTTTTTCTCTCCTTTCGCTAGTTAGTTAACAGCCATACAGTCTTCTGTATCAGTGTAATATACTCAGCAGACACTGAAATCAGACTTCACAAGGATCTTTGCCAAGAAGTCGAACTGACTTCACAAACAGTTTAGGATATTCTAACCTTTACATGGAGTTTTGCTTTTCAGTGTTATAAACCCAACAGTGGCAAATACTCTTTAACAAGCACAGTAAGTGCTCTTACAAGTCACAGTAAATATCTTTTTTTCTCTCCATTACTGTTATTAATCCCTTATTTGATGATATGCCCACACATTTGCGTATTCTACCAAGAAAACTTTATTCTTATTCCTGTTTTGCACAACGTTCTAGATGTTTAGCTATGAAAATATTCCTGTTTTATACTTCCACAACACAGGAGGAAAAGCCGCTATAAATCTCCCTGTGGCAGCATATACATTTTTCCCTTTTCTGATTAGCAAGGAAAAACTAACAGTTACTTTTAGGGCCCTTCAATTTATACTGATGCTTTCATGCTAAACTTTACTCCCATATATGTTTACTTCAAATTCAGTAGTCTGCAATAACGAATGTAAGTTGGAATTTACATAATTTAAACAGGTACATGGCAAACTTAAACAAAAGTAGTACATTAAAAAACAACAACAACAACAACAACAACAACAAAAACCCGAGTTGTTGAGTAATTGTAAGAACTATCACACTGCTTAAAGATGCTAACTCCTCCTCAGATACAAACTGCAACGTTAATACCACAATGTCTCACAGCGAAGTACTGGGGGGTATTTCATACCTGTATGGATTCTGATATGCTCTATGAGCCGTGCTGTTCCTTTGCTGGCGTAGTTGCAGTATCGACACTTCAACTTTCCATCAAATGTCCTTTCAAACCCATCCACTAACATTCCTGAGTTTTCATCCAGTGAAACTTCAACAGAAGGATGATCCAGACCATTCTGATCACCCTCTGTTCCAGCTGTGAATAACACAACAGAGATGTCAATCAAGAATCCGTGGGACACTATCTATCATGCTATGAGAATATGCCAAATATCTTTTGCTTCCCTATGCACTTGTCTTTAAATATATAGAACTATAAAAACATACCCTAATCAAAACAAAGGTACATACACATCTTTTGTGATGCAAAATGCTTCCATACAATTGTAATCATCTGCATAATTATCTGGAATGTAAACACTGCATTCTCAAAAAAATAAAAGCTGATATTAGCTTACCTCCCTGAAGAGTCTCTGCTTCCTTGTCTCCGCTAACTGATCCAGAAATCATATTTACATGGTGAGTCTGCTGTGTAAGATATTCCTGAAAATCTTTTACGAAGTCCAAAGGTTCTGGCTTTTTTTCACCCATATTCACTCTTTATGTTTACAATCTCTTGTGCCTAGAAGGAAAAATTTTTCAAAATGCAGGTGTCATTGAATTTGAATGCATTCATAAAAAACAAGTTAGTTTGGGGGGGGTGTGTTATGTGAAAGAGTACGATTATCATACAGCATAACTCAACACACAAATTGACAATCATAAGAATATTATTTTTAGAATTTTTAACTCATTAAAGATCACCAAATACATGACTGTGGAAGCCATTTTCAGCAACAGTAATAAAAGGACAATATCAAATTGGATAAAATAACATAATACCCAAAATCAACTTGTCCTTTTTTTTTTAAAAAAAAAAAATATGGATTATACCTGAATTTCAGTCCCCTGCTAAGTAGCAAACATGCTCCAAACTGTACTCCCAACAGGTCAGACAAAAAGCACAGAGCACAGCTTCTCCACTTTTCCTGGAAAGAAAAAAAGGAAACGTAGGTCTATGATTGTTCCCAAACCCCATGAGCTGTAAGAAAGAAACCTGAAAAAATAAATATGTTATGAAAGACAGATTCTAACACTCTACTGCTGTTTTATTAAAACAATTACACTTCCACAAAGACTTTTCAAAGACTGCATCCACTCCTTCATGTATCTCACTGATCATTTTAATAGCTTCTCTGGTGAACACGTGGCTCCAAAAAAGTCCCAGAGTTGGGCAAGTCAGTTACAGCAACTGTAATACTGGGAAACCAATTGAATGTTGCTGATTAACAGAGATGAAAAGAAGCCTTATTTCATAGTTCTCCCAAAATCTGAGTCTCCTATCCTGCACAAAAGTCTTAATCCATTTCATTATTTTGCATTGAAATAATAAAAAAATTCACTAGAAGTCACTGGTCATGCTCTTTTCTGGGACTGTAAATGACAAACCTCTAGAGTCTCAATTTGCAATGAATTTGTGAAGACAGAACTTAGGATTCAGTTGGAAAGAGGCCAATGAGTCAGTCACATTATTATTCCTGCAGGTTATAATCAGAAAGTTCGTAATGCTACATTTTCATTAAGAATATCTTTCTGGTTTTCCAACAGCTACTAAATAAAGCACTACGTGACCTACAAAAGCTCAAGTCCTGAGTTCAAGGCCACTTTTAAACACACTCCTGTATTTTCAAAGTTAGTTACAAGCATTAGTTCATTTCTGGCATGCAGATGAGTATGTTCTTTCCCATCATACCTAAGTGTGCTCAACTACTATCATTATTATCACCATTAAGTTAGTTTTGAACACATCTTTATGCATCTATTTTGCCTACCCTCTTTCTTTCAGGTGTCACCAGCCTCGTGTAGGCTTAAGTTAATTTGTGTTCCATTTGTTGGTGTCTCCTGCAATAAAACAAGGATATCAGGATATGAATCAAAGATACAGAAGAGAACAACAGGACATTGTAGAGTCCTGACTCACCAAATTATAATAAGAAATAACAATTTAAAATTAAACCATTCTAAATGTTGAATGGTTCAACATGAAACATTAAAGGTCCATATTTTCACAGAAGAATCCATGTATCCCTTTGTGTAAGGCACAAAAACTTACTTGATCAATCACTTTTGTAATGACATTTTTAAAGAAAACTAGACAAAATTTTTAAAATCTGACTGGTGACATTATTTTGGTGATCAACTGCATAAAACCTCATTCCCCTACCTCATCTGATTTAATTGGAAAACATTCATCCTTCTTTTTTTTATATCAAATTTATATTACCCCAATTTAAGTACCACCTCAAACCTCTATATTTGTATGCACAAAAGAACCTTTTGTGACTTTATGTGGTATTTTTTATGGATATGCAAGCAGCAGTTCTCCTTTTCAGGGAAGAATGCTACAGATCAGATGCCGGCTATGTCACTACTGCAAACTGGTAAATGTAATTCCAATTATTAGAAACCTGAGCAGACCAGATCATGTTTCATGCACTTGAACAGGCTGATCACACTAGAGGATCCTCAAACTCTACTTCTACAGAACATTTTCTGCATAAACAACTACATCTTCTCCAGCTTTATACCCTGACAGGTAGAATCCTAGTTATGCATTTTCTACACAGGCACAACCGCTGGATTTAACAGTAGTTACGGTGCTGATGTGGAGTAAGTTAATTGTCTCGTTTATTATAAATATTTTTACTAAAGAATTCTACCAAAGAAAATAATTCAGACAGAGTAAAACCAGTAGTTTAACACACAGACGAAGAACTCATACGGCAGTAATTATAAAGAAATAAAATCATGACTGTGAGTGTATGTACCCCATTTTCTTTTAAGGAATAAAGGGGAAAAAAACAGGGAGGCTGTCTCTGCCCCAGTCTCATCTTTTCCAGTGCAAAAGACTTAGAATAAGGAAGAAGGAAGGATCCCAAACTCTATCCAAGTCTTTCCTGCTCCTTCTCAAGGCGTTTTGCGCGTGGGAAGGGGAAGAGGAATCGCCGCGCCGGCGGCTGCCGGGCCGAGCCCCACGACCTGTCATCCGCCACCGAAAACTGCCGGTTGCTCCGCCGCCCCCTTCCCACACCCGAGAGCGTACCATCACCCCGACCTTTCCTCCACCTTTCTCCGAACCACGCCGCCTTCACGCGTGGGCGCGGAGCGACACAGCCACGGCAGAGCTCCGCGTTAACCCGGGGTGTCCCCCCCCTCCCCGGCTCCAAAACAAGGGAGAAGCAGCGCGGCTCTCCCCGCCCGGCTCCCCGCGGCCAGCCGGGAGC